CCCCAAAACCCCAAAACCCCAAAACCCCAAAACCCCACACGAAATCTCAGGGGTTGAACTTTTATAGACAGCATTTAACTGAGGAGATCAGATAGAAGTTTGACCGCAGCCAGTGCCTTCTCATCTCTCCATTGTAAGGCTGAGATCTGTACTCCAACAGGCATTGCATTCTCATTCTGTGATGGGACAGGAACTATAGAGTCAAAGGATAGAACTTACCAGCACAAGTTGGCAAATGAAGCATGTTGAACAGCATAAAGTTGAATGGAGGTAGATCATGATTCGCTTTCTCTACTATCTCAAATGCAGGTGTTTGATAACCAGGAGTCAGAAGGACATCAAGCTTCAACTCGACAAATTTATCAGCAATCTCCTGAATCTTGTTATATCTGTACTTAGTCATCTTTGCAAGCTGAGAAGTATTTGAGGGATGGAGAATTTTAAACATTGCACTAACTGTTCTGGGTAAAAACAAGCCAGCGATAAAACCGAGTATAGACTTCAAAAACTTTGGCATTTTATTGTACATGAAGAGGATAGTTTGGATATTTGCATTCAGAGCATCACCCTTCTCAAACATCTCATCGAACACCAGAGGGAGGCCTTCGTTATTTAAGATGTCTAAGCAATTAATGACGAACTGGAAAAGTTCAGTGAATTCAAACTCGACAATTTCGTGACCTCCTTTAATAAAAGCTTCCTTTGAGTCTTCATAAGCGTTGAGGCTATCTTTTTCTAAGGTGATAATATCGTCAATATTCTTGATCACTCCAATCCGGAGCTTCTTCTTAAGAGTGTAGTCATAAAGTTCCTGATCGAAGGGGACTTCTGGCACTAATTTATCATAAGCCCTTGCTTTCGAGGAGTCGAGAATCTTCATTAGTTCAAGGATATCTTCAGGAGATTTTGCGATTGGTCCAATTCATGGTCTGAATAATTTTGTATGGACACTATCATATTTCGTATAACAAGAGATTCCATCTACGCTATGCCTTTCAGGTGTAGGAAGGAATCCATACATCCCATTGAACAAAGCAGGGATTCTGATTGATCCTCCAAAGTCTGTTCATATAGCAAATGGGGATGCACCACATGATACAAGAGCTGCATCACCGCCTGAAGATCCACCTGTTGTTCTATTCTGATCTCTTGGATTTTTAGCTTCGCCCCATATGCGATTCTCTGTATGGATGGTCAAACAAGCTTCTGCAATATTTCCTTTTACGAACACGATAGCTCCTTGGTCTTTCAGCAATTTTATGCTGATTGCATCTTCGTCGACTACCTTATCAGCTCTAGAGGGAACTCCCATTGAAGAGATCATGCCTTTGACATAAATCTGATCTTTAACAGAAAAGGGAATCCCAAATAGAGAGCCTAGCTCTGCTTGAGGATTCTTTCCTTGCTGGAGACATTTCTTGAGAGCCAGATCCTTCTCCTTTGCCTCTTCAAGAGCCTCTGTGAAAGCTTCATCAGCTGTAAGATTGAGTTCTCTACCAGTGGTATACGCTTTGTGTCAGTAATAGCTAACTACATCATAGATAGTAACTTTTTGGGTAAATATTGCCTCTCTTAATGCAGAGATAGAGCTTGCTTGTTTGACTGTCTCCCATGCCTAGATTTTTATGCTTAAGCTTACCTCTGTTTCAATAAAATCGTGTTTTTGACTATTCCTTTTCGCCAAAACTGCCTTAGCTTTCTTTACATTCTGGGTTCACTTGTTCTGAAATTTGATATATCCAATCATCTTCTTGATACCAAAGATGAATATAAGGATAAATATGTTCATTGGGTTCACAAAGTAAAGCACCCACTCAAAGTTCCACTGCCTAGAACAAAAATTATCAAAATCCTTACGTATCCAAATTTTGGTCCATTTGTTCAATAAAAATTAAATTTTCTGGGGTTTTGGGGTTTTGGGGTTTTGGGGTTTTGGGGTTTTGGGG